TGTCTCAAAAAAAAAAAAAAAAGAAATGCTATCTACCTAGCACGATCTTTAAATATTTCTGCAAATGAAGAGAATAACATAGGGAGTCAGGTGTGGTGGTGCACACCTGTAGCCCCAGCTACTTGAGAGGCTGAGGTGGGAGAATCACCTGAGCCCAGCAGTTCAAGTCCAGCCTGGGCAAAATAGTGAGACACCCCATCTCTTTAAAAAAAAGAGAGAGAGAACGATAGAATAATGTAAGATATCTTTCTGTCCCTTTTTCTTAGAACCTGAAATCTCCTATTGCCTTTTAGTGAATTGGCTTGTGGATAAACCTTCCTATTTTGTCACACACCCCTCAGACGGGGGCACCACATGAACAGGGACCAAGCTGCATTCTCATATTGCCTGCACAGCCAGTGGTAGTTGGATGGAATCATCTTTTTGGAGTCAAGATCTCACATTTTGGGATTTAGTGAACAAATTCATGTTCATGCTATACATACCCTTTGTGGTTTCATAGATGTCATCAAAGTCCTATTTCACTTCCATTACTTCCAGAGTTAACACTTCTTCTGCTCTTGTATGACAGCAGTCTGCCTCCTCCGTTTGTACCCTCAATGCCCTAAATCCTCACAGACATTTCTTTTCTCATCCTCTGTCTTTTCAAACCTGGTATAGTTCATTGCTCGTTCACAGACACGGTTCCTCTGTACCTCACTGTCCTTCCAAGCAGATATCATTTTGGATGCATGCTAACCATTCATTTTGTGGTCTTGGCAAAGTGAGGCCAGGTTTTTTACACGTGTCTAAAGGGATTGAAGGGGAGGGGCTTGGGAAAAATAAAGGGATTGAAGTGCCATCACCCAAAGACAAGTAGCTATGTCCACCCCTTGCCCCCCAAATCCCTATTCTAGGGCCCTCTGCTCTAAGAAAGAGACCAGGCTGATACTACCACCTAATTCCTGTTTTCAGACTATTTCAAGGCAGCCATTAACAGAAAACTAATTTTTGGTTTTTTGGTTTTTTGGTTTTTTTGAGACACAGTCTCCCTCTGTCACCTGGGCTAGAGTACAGTGGCATCATCATAGGTCAGTGCAACCTCAAATTCCTGGGCTCAGGCAATCCTCCTGCCTCAGCCTCTCACGTAGCTGGGACTACAGATGCACGCCACCACAGCCGGCTAATTTTTTCTATTTTTAGTAGAAACAGGGTCTTGCTCTTGCTTAGGCTGGTCTCAAACTCCTAAGCTCAAGCGATCCTTCCACCTCGGCCCCCCAGAGTGCTATGATTACTGTTGTGAGCTACCATGCCCAGCCAGAAAACTAATTTTAAATAACACTTAGAGATCAGAACTAAGTGAAGTTTTTGTCCATTAGGTTTTCCCATTTGTCATCAAGCAGCTACCTCTTCAGTGAGGTTTAAGCTGCCCATCTGGAAGCTCTGGCTGCACAGCCTTGGTTACTCGTACAGGAAGCCCTCTCTGTATCGTGCTTCTCTATGTGAAACAAACTGACTCAGTAGGCTGGGCTGGGCTGGGCTTGCCCTCAGCACCTGACCCACTCAGGGAATGTTGTATAGCCCTTACTCTTGTTCACGCATTAATATTCTTTTTGTTCCCATTTTCAGAGGGATTTCAGGCTGATTTCTGTTGTTCCTTCAAACTTGATAAAGCTGCTCATGAGAGCTTTGGCAGAAATGACCAGCATGGCAGTAAAACAACCAGCTCTCTACATCTGACAGCCAAGGCCCAAAGCAGGGACCGAGCCAAACCAGGCGTGACAGAACCAACAAATCATGACCAATTTCATCTAGTGCCTAATCACATCGTGGTCTCCGCAGAAGGAAACATTTCTAAAAAAACGGAATGCCTTGGCAGAGCACTGAAATTTGACAAAGTGGGCTTAGTTCAATACCGGAGCACATCTGAAGAGAAAGCCAGCCAGAGAGACCCCACGAAGGCCAGTGAGCGCTCTCCCGGCCCTGAAGGGCACCGGAAAACCTCGTCCAGACCGGATCATGGTACCGAGGGCAAACTCTCAAGTATCCTAGTAGATTCACACTTGGAGATGAGGTGTAACAATTCCTTCCAGGACAAAACTCTGAGGAATTCTCCAAAGAATGAAGTTTTACACACAGACATCATGAAAGGGTCCGGCGAGCCCCAGCCAGATCTCCAGCTCACAAAGAGTTTAGAAACCACATTTAAGAACATCTTGGAACTCAAAAAGGCTGGGCGGCAGCCCCAGAGTGACCCCACGGTTAGCGGCTCTGTTGAGTTAGATTTCCCCAACTTTTCTCCAATGGCTTCGCAGGAAAACTGCCTGGAAAAGTTCATCCCTGACCACAGTGAAGGCGTTGTAGAAACTGACTCCATTTTAGAAGCAGCTGTAAATAGTATCCTAGAGTGTTAATAGCAGCAGTCCTCCCCACCCCTGCCCTGAGAACCCGCCCCAGACAAGTTACATTCTTTCCTGGCAAAAGCAAGTGGAAACGGTCTCCTGTCTCCAGCCTGCTTGATCTTTCATCACAGGTTATTCTTTCTAATCTCAACCCTGTTCTCTGTTTAAGAGCAATACTTGTCGTGGTTACACGGAGATCCTTAGGTAAAATTAATCCTGTTAGAAAGCAGTCTGATAGGCCCCACACATTTCAAGTGTTATGAAAGTGCTTATAGTCATTTTTTGTTTATTTGTTTTATTTAAAAAAAAAAAACACTGTAACTCAATGAGACCACAGTATACTTGGCCCTGGGTAAAATTTTGACAATCATAAGTCATTCGAAAAGAACAGACTTATTAAAGAAAATCAAACAGGACTGATAGAAGCTATTTTTAAAGAATACCCCACTGCATCTCCAAATTTGGTTTTATGGGTTTCTTTGTTATTTTGGATTTTTTGTTTGTTTGTTTGTTTGTTTTGTTGGTGGAAGAACACATGGTTCTTCCCCCCTCAGCCATCTCTGAGCAGTAAGTTGCTGGCTGCTCTGCCAGGGACCCCACAGCCCTGGTATAAAAGCCAGCAGCACATGAGTAGGGCATTCGCAGGGCTTCCCTGTTGATGATTCAAGTGCTTTTCTGATGCTCCAGGAGCAAAACCTCATGCTTTTCAGCATATCAGTGTTGAATTTCATCTAGGGAATGTTCTGTTCTTAGTTGCAACAGCATGACTTGAAATAATTTCACCAGGCTAAATAAAGGCAAATGGAAACTAGTTAAGAGGCACAGTGTACAGGGGAGGCCGGGACACAGCCATGAGGAGTATAATATGTATATATGTAAAAGCATATATATGTTAATTATTGAGAAAAAACAAGAGTTTTGCATTTTATAATTGGATATAGTCAACATATGATGTATGTTTTTGTTTGTTGCTGGGTTTTGTTTTGTTTAACCTCTCTTTGCACCGTCTCCTACAACAAATAGCCAAGCGTCAAAAAAAGCACTTTCATTTGAAAACTATACTGTAAATTTTTCAGTTTAAACTTAAAGGGGACTTTGGCCTTGTTTATGCTTCTTGTCTGAGAACAGTAGTCACCCCGGCAGCAGTCATTACCAAAATACAGACAAACCAAAGGTAACCAGCCAGCCCACCACTGAAAGAAAAGATCTGAGACACGGGATTCCCATTTGAGAGCCAAAGGTTATGCCCTGTTACAGTTTGTTTGGCCCGTGTTCATATTAGTGAACATGACTTATTGCTTTATTTATTTATATGTTCAGGGAGTGTTCCCCGTTTTCCTTTCTTGTATACCTGCCCCAGTTCATCACATTTCTGTTGTTACTTTCATTCTCAATGTCACTGTAACCATCACTTATCTCCTATCATGGGGAAAGCTACATGATAGTATTGTATACCCATTCTTCTCCCACGCACACGTATGCATGAATCTGAGCTACTTGGATCCAGAGGTCATTTTGGTTACAGTGTGTGTGTGCATACTCACTCTTCCTCTTGTGTGCCCCCTCTCTCATTTATTCTGTTTATCTCCCTGGCTTTAGAAGTGCACCCACTGGTCTCCACTTTAGTGTTGCCAGGATCTGCTACTGGCTGCCCCCAGCATGGGGATGACCTCCATTGTCATCATGTTGGGCATTTCTTTTCCATATTGGCCTGTGATGGAAAGGAAGGTTTCTGATCACTGGAAAATAGGAACAGAAGACCTATACCCCCCCACCCCGCCCCTCTGTGCCACCACACAAAAACCCTGCAAGACAGTCTTTCTTCATAATAGCAATGTACCTTCACCCCAACCCCATACCCTGGCCAATGGAAATTGGAAAATCTGGGCCATTTTAGGGTTACCATTTTTTCCTTATTTGTGCCAATGTCCAAGTTGCAAATTTCCCATTCTTCCTGTATTGTAACATATTAGAAAGATAAGTTGGTATTGCCAGTTGGAACTTTCTGTTTGGGCAGCCCTGGGGTAACACCCTGCCCTAAACTCCATGATTTCATAGGCTCTTCTTCTCTTAGGGCTCATGCTCCCCTAATTCCTAGCAAGACTTAACAATAATCCCTCCTGATCAAATTCTTCTCATTGTGGAATGTTATACCTGGAAGCCTTTATGTGGGCTGCTAATGAGTTACATTAATTACTTCAAATCAGTGGAATTCTCAAGAGACAAGATAAGCTTCATGTACATTTATCACCTCTCTTCCCTGCTACCCCAATCCTAACTTTCCTACATACCATCTTAAAGAGTTTTTAAGCCCTAACACTTGTCTAGCAAATGGAGAGCCTAAGTTACCAAAATGAAACTTGTAAATTTTTGTGTCCTTGTATGTAAGTTTACTTTTTATGGAGGAAGGATTCTAGATAATGACAAAGATTACGAAGTGTATTTTACTCCTGTGATTAGGTTACACGCACATGGGTCATAACTCGCATGTCGAGCCCCCTCTGGTGAAGGGTAAGAGAGATCAGCTTCAGATGGCCAACATTCAGTTGTTCAGGTTCATTAGTCAAAGTTAAGTTTAACTTACTCGTATTCAGTAACAAAAATCATTTTCTTTTTTTTTTCTGTTGTTGTGGAAAAGTGTGAATTTGTTATTAAGCATTTGATTTTCTGTGTCCTTATGTACTGCCTAAAGATAAAGCAAATTTTAAACTGGCAATTACGAAAAAAAATATTTTAGCTCTGAAGAATTTAGTAGACTCTGTTAGATTAGGGAGGCCTTACAGACTGACTTGACTTAAAGAGGACGCGTCACTCGCTGTCAGTGTGGTGTGGGCTTTATTTGCTTAAATACCTTCATTTGTATAGTATGTCTCACTTGAAATTGCTTTGTATACATTTTGTAAAAATATTTATAAAATGTTTTGTAAAAAAAAAGTATAACAAATTGCAGTTTATTTTGTTATGTTGGATAAATACTGTTAAAAGAAACCAGTCAGTAACTATATTGTTAATCCATGGTTAGGAAATGTTTAGTTGGAGATTACAAATTGAAACAACCATTGCAATACAGCCAAAGATTTGGGAAAATGTGCAACTGTGATTGTCTTGATTTTGCAAATAGGAATGGCTACTTTTCCCAGAAGAAAAGGGTAAGTGTTCAGTGGGAATTCTATTTAAATATATTTACCATTACCAAAAAGTAGCCTAACCACTGAGGGGACAGGATTTTAATTGAATGGCCTTTCCAAACAGTTACAAATTAAACTAAGTTGGTCAGTGAGGAAATTTGGTCATGTATATTTCTGGTCTCCATCCCTACTCCTGTTACATGGGTCCCTACTAAGGAAGGAAAATGGGGGTCATTTGACAAGTTAAATAAGTGAACCTCACCCTATAGGAAATTGTCTTCAATTGTTTATTTTGTTTCTGCAAGGACAAGGAGGAAGCTAAAGAATAGGTAAAGAAAACTATTTTACATAAGACTTATCCCAGAATTAACATGTTTCTCTTGGGATTCACATATTTGACCAAATTTTGTATTGAGAAATACCTCTGTAGCCTTATCTATAAAATCAGCCCCATGAGGCCCTTCTGAGTTCCTGCCCTCACAAGTATGACTCTACCCAATGTGTTAGGGAAGCTTCCAGAGGTAAAATATATTTTCCGGAGACAATTTTTTCTCTGTGGCCTAGAATTCACATTTGTACTCCTTTATGGTTTAATTGCTTCCCCCTGCCCAGCAGTAGGAAATAAAGCTTCAGCCATCATCAATATATAAATAGGAAGTAATTGTCATATAACTAACAGAAGTTAGAATTACTGCTAGAATAATTGCATCAGTGGGTAGATGTCATCAATGTGATTTACTGTGCTGCCCTGATGTCAAGCTTCTCTTCTTGCTAAGGATAAATGTGTGACATTTTTGACCTTCTTCAGGCCATTTGCAATGGGAGTGTCCTAGGAATGCAGAGTTAGAAGAAAAGATCATCTGGCTGCTAGGTTAGGTTAGGAGCAGGGTCCCTGTGTTCCCTGGGGGCATGCCCAGAGGAAACAGGAGACATCTTCTCTTAAGATGGTTAAAGTCCTCAGCCCTGTGTATGGGAGGCCACATTCCAGGAAAGGGGCCCTAGTACTCCCTGATGCAGAGAAAATAGTAAATTACTAGGGGAAAAGGTAAGGGTTTAACCCTCTACAGTCTGGGGGCACTGAAACAGCATTGCTCAGGCAGGGCCCTAGCTGTGCTGTCCTCAAAGGGCTAGGCCCTGGGTCCAGGGTCTTGCTCTGCTTGCAGCCTTTTGTGTGCTCTCCAAGACACAGAACCTCTTGAGTATCCAGCTGAAGATGGCAGTCATTAACCATTCAACATTACTTGAGCAGTTGATTGTGTGACAGAAACTATGTTAGACATTGGGATATATGGATAACTGAGGCATAATTTCTCCAGGAGCTCAGTCTGGAGGGGGAAAAAGCACATACATACATTACATTTGGGGCCAGGCACGGTGGCTCACGCCTGTAATCCTGGCACTCTGGGAGGCCGAGGTAGGGGATCGTTTGAGCTCAGGAGTTCAAGACCAGCCTGAGCAAGGGCGAGACCCCGTCTCTACTAAAAATAGAAAGAAATGAGCTGGACAACTAAAAATATATAGAAAACATTAGCGGGGCATGGTGGTGTGTGCCTGTAGTCCCAGCTACTAGGGAGGCTGAGGCAGGAGGATTGCTTGAGCCCAGGAGTTTGAGGTTGCTGTGAGCTAGGCTGATACCACGGCACTCTAGCCCGGGCAATAGAGTGAGACTCTGTCTCAAAAAAAAAATACATTTGGGAACTGATTGGAGTTCAGGAAAGAAAAAAATGGGGTGCTAAAATTCTTCTAGACTGCCACTATAAATTGCACAGAAAGCTGCAGTCTATATTTCCATGCCCTGGCTCTTAGTACAGTTTCCTGAGTTATGTTTGAGAAAAAAGTATGATACTTTCTGCAGGAATGACGATAAAGGATTTTTGTAATTAAAATGTTGAATATGTAGAGAAATCTTGTTTGATATATACACAAATGGTAGGAGCACATTTGTAGTAACAAGTGGATTCTGTAATATGAATAGCCTATGTATATTGCTACAGACAAAAAACCTTTATAAGAAACCCTAATCTGTATTCTTGGGTATGTGCTGGAGTCTGGCCTTTGAAAACATTTGCAAAAGCAAGAATTTCCTTAGAAAAATATCACTTCTGTGAAGGTCAAGAAGGTCTGCCCAACTGGGTGGGCAGAAAGTACCTTTATGAGCAAAATGTAAAATGTGTTCTAGTACCTCATCTAACATGTAATCAGATATCTTTATACAAGTTACTCTCAGCCTCAGTGTCCTTGCTCATAAACTTGGAAGACTTGTCCTGGCCCTTTACTTCTGAGGGTATAAAATGAGGTGTTACTGAAGAAGTATAGAAAGTTAAAAAAAAAAAAAAAAAGCTATGTTCCATTGTCCCTGAAATAATTCAGAAGAGGTTTGTGTTTTTCTGTTTTGCTTTTAGTCTTACCTGCTACACACTGTCTACTTCCTACCCTAGCTTTCCTTTGTCTATCCTTGGGCCTCAAAAGGCTGCTGCCAGCCTGGGCAATAGCGAGAAACCTGGGCAAGAGTGAGACCTCATCTGTACAAAAAAATAAAACATTCGCCAGGGGGCGTGATGGCACATACCTAGCAGTTCCAGCTACTCCAGAGGCTGAGGCAGGAGGATCACTTGAGCCCAGGAGGTGGAGGTGGCAGTGAGCTATGATGATGCCACTGCTGCCCCTTACCTGCTCTCTCCCTTTTCCTTCCCACTTTTGTTCTCTTATGCTTGTTTTTAGTCAAGATCGAAAGCTGTTGTCAATGCTGTTTTCACCAACTCCAGGCTCATTTGCTGTTCTTACACTAATCTGTTTCCTGTCTGCTTCCTGATAACCCCTTGTCACTCTCTGAGAATCCAACAAGGAAAGCTTGAAACAAAATGAAACTGACTGCAAGAAATGTCATAATCCAAGAAAGAGAATGGAGCAGATGGAAAACTGCAGATGGAGCTCCCCTTAGCCTGAGCTGGGTGTGGTGGTTTGGGCTTACTTAGAAGGCACTGCTCAATTATCTCAAGTAAAAGAGTAGGATTCCAAATAATCCAGAAGTGCAAACAATACTGAAATAACTTACTCAGGGATATGTTAGGAAAGGGATTCTGGAGTCAATTTAGCAAACCACAAAATGTAAGTCCTGAAGGGAGTCTTAAAAACATAGTCAAGTGGTTTCTAAAACCACAAAAATCTAATTACCTACAGAGCTGCTTCTCAAATTAATACATATGTGATAAACAAAGGGCATACCATGAAATAGAAGTCTTCCTTCCTCCCATTCCAGACCCTACTATCATTTCCCCAAAATATCCCCATCAACACTTTCTTGTATATCCTTCCAAAATTGTTACAAATATATCTATCACCAAAAAACAAAAGAAAAACCTGGGACCATTCTCTTACACCCTATTCTGTATCTTGCTTTTTTTTTTTTTAAATATAACCAAATGTTTAGCAGTGTTATAGTATTATAGTCTTTAGTATAGTTCTTTGGTTGTAAGCAACAGAAACTTATTCTGGTTAACCAACATAAAGGGATTTTATAGGGAGGATAAAGATTGAAGGGAAGATTGAAGAACCACCAGGTGTGGAAAGACAGGAACGGGGAAACTCTACAGGGTTTTTATTAGGTGGAAATCCTTAAAAGTCTTGCCCCAAATCTCCTACTTTCTCCCATCATCACTCTGCTTAAAATTCAAAATCCCAGACAAGTTTAGTGTCTCATACCCCCTCCCAACGGGGAGATTAACTCTCTTAGAGTTGAAAAGATCTTCCAAAGACCCTTTCAACTTAACTATTGGGAAGGAAAGCATTTGGATTTGATATCCCCCCTAGCCACCGTCGACAGTATATAATGAGGAAGAGACGGTTCACAAGAGGAATGGGATACTATTAGGAAAATTGGAATGGATGTTAGCAGGCCAAAAAATGAAAAACATTCACCACTGAGATTTCAGGACTTGAAGACCTATATCACTGTGCATACAGTTGCACAGACTTCCATAATTTATTTAACCATTCCCTAATGATGGATAACTGAAGTGGCCAAGAAGGAAAACAGAGCCATGAGGACAGGCTAAAAAGAGTAAGATTCTTGAGGCTGTAAATGGCAATGCCTCATTCTCATTCATTAAATTTACTTTTAAGAAAAAAATCTTGTATTTTTTCCAGTGGTAGGGCACATGTTCAATGCTCAGTAACCACATATTCAGTTAGTGAACAACTGGTTGAAGAGGACTCCATCTTTTTCTCAAGCGATGGCTTTGGCACTGAGAATAAGTACTCTCCTAGCACCACCTGCTGGCAGTGGAAAACCATTTCCTGGAGTCCAGGCCTCCAATCACATTTGCCTAGTATTGTTAACCCTAAAATTCCTCCTTCCCTTAATATTGTCGGCACCACAGAATCTACCTTTTTTATCTGCTGACGAGGGAAATCACAAAATTGACTTTTGTTTTTTGCTTACTATTTAATAGATGCTTTACACTTTGGTGACCCTTCTGTTCTGCCTCTTTAAAAATAGTCTTATTTTTAAGACTATTAAAAGACTATTAAAAGACTTTTTAAGCATGACACATGGTGACATGCTTAAAGAGTGAGAATGAGCCTCCCTTTAAGAGTGTAACCCTGAAGATTGTATTGCCCTTTTGTTACTAAAAGCTTGACACTTGTCTTCGAGGCCACATCAGAAGAACAAGGGCAAGTGGTTTGAGGAGAAGGAAAGAGGAGTTCATTAATTTGCTGGCAAATGAGGATGGAGACTCCTGTCTAAAATGCCATCATCCTCCTAATAAGCAGAAATACAGAGCTGTTTAAAGGGAGGCCATTCAGCTTCAGGCAATTGCTGTTCAACTACAGTTGACGATTCCGGTCGTCCCATCTCTGTCCCATTTCTCCCAAAAACAGGACCTACACCTGGGACCTCTACCCAGACAGTTCCATTGACCCATCTCCAGTAGCACAAAGAACATTCCTCTGCCCCTCGT